TTCACAACCAAATCACTTTTTGTTGCTGAAACTCATTAATTAGAATTCTTTCTGCCGGATGACGATTGGGTGGCCGCATCACAAATGAACAGTGTTTCAAGGGTACCTGTGATCAAAGATCTGTAACCTTTAGTCGTCTTGTATTGAGGCTGTTTATCAGATATAGAAGTCAACTAGTGGGGGAAAGCGGAAAAAATCATTACTTTTTGGCTGGTGCTTTTCAAATAGGAAAACTTAGCACATCTTGGTTGATTAAATATTTTCTATTGTTCGATTTTTTCATCTTCACATACATAATCTGAATATCACCAAAGAAGTTTTATGTCAAGAAATGGTTATCTTATTACACTATGACTAGTAAAAAAGATATTCAATTATATTTTGAAGGGCGGAAGAGATTTGAAACGATCATAAGATGGAGATTAAAATTCTGTTTTTCTAATAAGAGAGACACTCTAACTTCCATTTTCTAATTTGCATCGAAGTTTTCAAAATAAAACAATCGGGTGGTTTGGACAGTACAAGTACGCCTAAAACAAATTAGGTGTATCATTTAAACACTAGGTAAGTGCTTAGTTTGCAGAAAATCCTGATGTTTATTGCGCACGTACACTGCTGATAGCACTTGTATGTAAATTGATGGCGAAAGTCACATCTGTTTCGCAGTGGAACTTTAATGCTGTTGTACAGTGTAATACAAAACTTGTCTTTCTAATAAAAGCACCACTCACTTAAACAGTATTATTTACTAAATAGCGGATTTCTTACAATACATTATCCGTAGTTGTATCTATCATAAATTCACAGTTGTTTTGCACCTTTGAAATTCGCCATTATAGAAACAGATCTTACCTAAACATGTACGTCTGTACTTTTCAGCACCAAACGACTAGATTAAACTAGCAACTGAGTACAACCAAAGTATTAAATTCACTGGGCAACAAATGGCTACACGAGATTGTCGGTCATACTAGTCAGCCATAATGTAAATTTATGCAAATATTTATTTAGAGGAATTAAGTCTTAATATAAAGAGATAAATTCATAAAAATCTATCAGATAAATATGCTTAGAGCAGATGTTGGTTATGAGGCTGATGTTAACAATGGACACACTGAGAAGACGGGAATCAAAACTTCTATAAAATACTATACGGAATTCTCAGTAAGGTTCGGATAGTATCGTTTAAACCCATAAAGTAACTAGTTTTGTAAGTGTACAGATTCCCTTAATCAAATTAAAGGGAATAATTTAGCTGACTAAATCTTTTGCAACGATTACAAGGTCAAGTAAATGCATTGACCAGATCTAATCAGGCTGAAACCACATTAGCAGACCCCAGTAAGATAAGAAATCTAGCTGAAAGTCCGGTTATGAACATGAGTACAATTACATATAATCACATAGTGGGATGGGACAGAGTGACATTCCTTAAAAATAATTAAGCTGGTTAGAGGAATGTATTGATAGCTGAGTCTTCACCCATGGAATCAACACCAAATAGATGGAAGGGGAATGAATAAGCACCCACTCCAGATGTATGGAACATTCTGCTCTATATACCACAAGGGAGAATCGAGAAATGGAAATATCTAAATCACTTCTCGAGGTCGTGGAGTTGCTCTGATATAAATATGGACAATAGATTGTATTTGAATCGTTTCCCAGCAAACACTTCTGTACACAAATCGGTCACCAATTATTAACCAACACAGCTCTTCGGTCCTAAATGTTTAGCACTGATCGAAGCCTATTATATAACTCAGCCAAGCAACACGACACTTTAGTGTGCTGGAGTTTCTTCTTGAACCGTAGGAGTCCCTTGGTAGGAGACCCTGAACTTGGGTTCCATCCTTGTTAATATTTATCAGCAAGGGTTACAGGGGGTTCACTCATGAAGTGAATAGCTTGTTACTGAAGTCTATGACTTCAAAAATGAGTGATTCTAGTTCGAATCACCTAGACCAAAGTAGTTTCCTCATAGTTGCGAAAATGCCCTCCAGATAAATGCCAACAAGTATGAAATCTAGGTCCAGAGCTTCCTACCGACTAAGTGCCACCATCAAACATCAAAAGGATACTATTTCACTGTATGATTCATCTTCTAAACCTACTAGAATGAAATTGACTCCTGACTGTGACTTCTGATAAAACTAGATTAATTGCATAAGTAAGGCTTTTTGGCGATCAATAAAATGTCCTCAGAAAACCATCAAATAATTATGAAATCACTCACTAGATATCAACATTAAAATAATTAAAAAACTTTTTAACCGTTCAGGGAGAAGTTTAACGTCAAAAGAAATAAAACTTCGTCTAGACTGGAAAATATTGTTCCTTCATTATGAGTCTAAGTCAATCCGCTGGATAAAAGTTCACTGAAGATAGAACATGAAGTAAGCTAGTGTTAAACAAAACAAAAAATGTAAGCTCTGGGGCGATTTCGAAATGATGACGATGATGATTTTGAAAGTATTACTGCAAATATCACATTAGAAACAGGCAATTCAACTGCAGCACTGAACAAACCTGATTATTTTAGTTAAAGTGTTTGAAATAATCCTGGGTTGACAAACAGTTCCTATATAGGCTTACATTAGGTCTCATTATCTCAAGAGACATAATGAATTTACACTGGACTGCATGCCAAAGGTAGAAATTCATTAGAAAGCTCATTTTTTAGTAGGATACTCTGACCTAAAGGCAAACGCTGAACTTCATTTTAATAAAATATAGTCACCTGTTACAGTCATGCAGAAAGTCCTTAATTTTTCTTCAACCTCTTAAATGTATAGCCTCAAGGATTGTCTTCTTCCCACTGTAATGAATTTTTTCGTAAAAATTTTCTGCTGAATGAGTTAATTGATATTAGTTCAGTTTTCAAAAATTAATTAAACAAAAGGAAAGCCCAGCCAATTTGAAAATAAATGGATCTAGAGCAATTACATCTCCTGTTTAATAGAATGAAAGGAATAAGAGGAAAGGGTTAACATTTTTGATTTTAATGCAGTGAGTTTTTATTGATGCGATTTATTTTTTAATTCTTGGGACATTTCCTAAAATTTATTGGATTCCATTTATTCACCTAATTCATCAATGAGATGCCAATTGTACTTATCATGTAACTCGTCGTTTTAATTGGCTGCAGGATATTACTGGAGCCATAATCAGTAGAAGATATCATTCAGTTCTTACTATAATGCATTTTATTGATATAAGTAACTGATATAATCTGTTGATCTAGCCTCTAACCCCCCCCTAGGCAAGCAGCCACTATCAATATGGTCCCTGGGATTACTGCAAAAGAATTAAGTATATCTTGGTTGTGTTGTTTTGTGTTCTCTGAGCAGAGTGATTTAATCGTGCAGGTTTCATTGTCTTTCTAAATAACATCATTGGCACTAACTTCATATTGGAGTACATCAAGTCGGAGAGCACAACAAAACCAAAATCATCCAACTGAGCTACAAATATTCGCTACCGTTTCAACACTAAATAAATGCAATTAACTCCGTATTCTTAGGGCTCCTACTCTGAACAATATGATATCATGCATACGTGGGATTTATCCGAATACTCTGATTTATTCAATCCATAGAAGAGTTCAAGTTATCTGACTGATTGAATCTGACTACCTTAGTTATGTAAACCGGTAAACCTTAAGAGAGTTGACCTGAGAAACTACGTCTTTTTATAAGTTGAATTTCTCCACGTACAGCTATGATAAACTTGACCTGAAAATAACCAAGCGGCAGTCTAGTATTTGCATCACTCTGATCTGGCTAGCAGCACTGACAGATTAGTATATGTGGTGGAATATTGCGTTGATTTGCAAAATTTCGTATGGTCGTAACTTGGCACTTTACAATAAATATCTTATTTACACCATAGGTAGGCAGGTGTAAAACTGTTTACCTGTTTAAAATATCAACTGGGATTATAGAGTCTGTAAGCAATTTGAAAACTGCTTGCGAATAATCATTGGGATTTGGTTATATCTATACACACACACTCATGCAAACATCTTACGATTAGGTTGTAGGCCATATGTTTACTTTACCATCTAAAGTAAAAGTTGCATCATGTTTTGTATGAAATCCAGCCTTGGTTTCTGCACAAGAACCGATAAGTTGTAGAGGCCAAACCTAACTGAGTTAAACCTTAATTTGCTGAAGTTCTAGAACAAATATAAACAAATAGGATACATAAACCAATACATATATTAAACGAAGCATTGAAGTCAACTTGGAATAAACAGCATAGCGTATTTTATCCCAGTTATAGCAGTATTCCAGGAGAATAGGTATGATGCAGATGAATAACTTGACGAACATTAATTTATTTGACCATGAGATACTTTGAAGTATGTAAGCGAGCGCCTAACAATTCAAGAACAGGATGAGTACTTGACAAGTGTTTCGTACTAGTGTGTGACTTCTCAGTAGTATGCACCCACGACCCAGTTACGGATCAGAATCAAAACCTTCAGAGTTCACAGTGAACACGTCAACCATTCAGCTATTGTGTCAGCGTTCAGTGGTTCACAGTTTCCTACTTCTGTCAATTTTCAAAGTTCTAATCAGAAGCTGTGACCACTGGGGTCAACCAGTCAGAAGTGAAGTAGATGTCAATCGAAAACCACAGGCGATAATCGTTTGATATCGCAAATTGAAGCAAGTAGGAAACTATGGACTATTGTACTCTGATCTCTATGGCTGAGTGGTTAGTACGTTCGTTATGAACCCTGGAAATCCTGAGTTCGACCCCTTGCGGAGTCAAGTAAGTGTAGTGCTAAGGAGTTCCACAATAGTACGAAACAGCTGTCCGGTGCTCCAAGGTTTTAGATGGTTACCCAACTGATGGAAGTTTGTGATGAATACTGTCTTCAAAAAATCCCCATTAATCTCGAAATACATTTATTATTTGACTAGTACTAATTTATAATAGAGTCTGATTGTATGTTTAAACGTGTTAACGATTTTCTCTTTCATTTATTTTAGTTATATATCGCATAAAGAAAACAGTTTTATCTACTTTCATCTACACCTGAACGCTGTATTACTATTTCAAGCGGTTCAGAAACAGCCAGCATCATCGTAATATAAACAGTAGTAGTAAATAATTAAAAACGAGAGATCCCTATTCAAAATTCCATTTACAGATAACAAAAAAGAAACAGATAAACCAAGAAACAAATAATTTTGTTGTGTTTATCTGATTACATCATCAAAGTGATCGCGTTGTCATTCCTTTTTTTCCTCATCGCTTGTTTAGCTTTATCACGGGATCGTTTTTCAGTCGGTAAATTGCTTGAAAACGAATCAACATATGCACTGTCACAACCAACTAGCGATACTACAGCACAGATATGCACATGTACTGACTCATACAAGCACCATACCATCTTCACCGTTATTTCTTTATTCATCGACTGTGTTGTTGGTTCGGTTTAATTTTTAATATTGCATTCCACGTGAATTCCTTTCTGACGAAAGGGTGGAGATAATGAAAAAGAAAGGTAGAAAATTATTTCAGTACTGAATACAGTTTAAAAATCTGTCTGATGTCTTTTTCTCCATTCCACTTCATTCACTCACTGTCTTTCTGTATTTTTGCTAACTAATTTAGCTATTTAGCTAGCGAAAATGTAGACTTATTTTGTCAATGTTTGGCTTTTTCTCCATGTTTTTCACTTATTTCTTATCGATTTACCTTATTTTATGGTTGGAATTGTCGCTGACCATAGATCAATAGACATCAGATCATATATATATATATATATATATATATATATATATATATATATATATATATATATACGTAATATTTTGATGAATATTGTTGTTGTTCTATGTATAAGAAATTCTTATTACTGCAAGTCCTCTCTAGTAAATTTAGGTGAACTTTACAAGCCACTTGATTAGTTTGTGAAACTGAAGCCAGTGTGTACGTCTGAGCAATGTTACTTCAACTTCCGGAAACATTGCCTTCTGGTGGCTATCATTGAGAAATTCGGGAATGGGATGGGGATGCATCAGTCTCTTGAATCATAAACAGGACTAAATTCGAGCCATGATATTCCCTACCAGCCACTACTGAATATATCTAAAGTATAACTCAAGGGAGTATAGAAACTTCTGTACTAGAATAGAATATATCATCTAAAAATTGACATCCAGAAACTGAAAGTCTCAATACACATCCGTATAGCTACTCTAATATTTGTTCGTAGAATCTCTGAATGCACTAATTACTTATATAAGAGACAATGACTATGGAAAATGTGAGCCAACTAAAAGCAGTTGTGATTTTCACAAGCATTTTATTGAAAGTTTAACCTAAGACAGTTGTTTTTTGTGTAAAATATACAAAAGAGGTTCTGATTTTGTCTGAGATTTGCATTCACTTTGTACGTTTTCAATGGATCCAAAGCAGTCATGTTATTCTTCATGGTAAACAGCATGTGGCAATCAATAGGCTGAAATTTGCCGAATCTTTCCAGACATGGAAAAATGTGGCGGTACAAAAAATAGCAGTAGATGTGGACTAGTATTACAGAACTACAAAGTCACAAGATCAACGAGAACATTAATGTCTTCGTGTGAATGAGTGAAACAGAAAAAAATCAAGAAAAAGATGCAAGGATGTTTACAGACTACTTAAAGAAAAATGGTGGATGAATCTTTGCCACTATAGCTGATTTCATTATCTTGGACCATTTTTTTTCTTAGTATTTTCGGGACTCATACTAAGATACTGGTTTTCTCTATCCAGCTGAGATCAACAGACAGTGATTCGACCATTTTAATGCCTCTTGAGACATATTTTTACTTCAGATGTCACGTGTCAAAATATCAGTCAGTGGTTCAGCTTTTATAGCTTCACTAACCTACCTTCCTTGACGGAACTCTGAATCTAAATATAATGTCACTCAACTAATAGTTTGATCACTTGTCAGGAATGCAAATCATTCAGATGTTATGCTACAAGTCAACCTTAAATGTTTGAGAGAAAATCCTAACATTTTGTTGTTTGAAATGTAGGGAATTCACCTTTCAGCATCTGCTACAGACAGCAGTGTTAGCGGTTAAATGAAATCTTAAAATATGCTTCCCCTAAAGAAGTCATAGGACGGAGGCAGTAACTAATTACAAAAGTATATATATATATATATATATATATATATATATATATATATATATGATGCGCACCTCCAATTTGTGAGTGAACCAAAAGATAAATGATCAAAATAACATTCCCAATAATTGTTCACAAACATAATCGACAGTTTCTATTGGAGAGGCTTTAGTAAACAAAGATGTGACGTCTAAGGAGCTTATGCATTTGTTTAGAAAATTTAAGCTTCTTACTTTATCTACAAATTGGAAGGTGCTCTTGACGCTATATTCTGCTAACTGGTCACGCAAAGGTTGAAGTATTCGTACTAGCTATTTAGCAGTAGCCTGATGAGACGATCTAGTCACATCTAGGAGCGAAGAGGCACCTCACGTTTGTATATTTTATGGTAGGCCATACAGTCGAGTTATTGTGCTGCCTATAGGTCTCAAATTTTCAAATCAGCCCAAAGAAATGTTTCCGTCATCTTTCAGTTTCTTGAGTGAGACTATTAGGTTTTTTTCTGTCTTTTCATTAAAGTCTTTAGCTGACTTTAGTTTCATCTTGTAATATTCAACCCATTTTCAGTATATAATTGACTCTATCTATAATTACGACTCTAGCTTTTCTATCAAGTCTTGTGCTGATGATGATGTCTTGATCATTTCTGAGCCTTCTGAGAGCCTCACGATGTTCTCTAGTTAATATACCCCTTGACGGATTTTTGTTGTATTTATACTGATAGCAGCAGTCCACTAGAGTTGACTTAAATCTTACCATCTCTCCACTAGATGATGTAACTAAGCCGGCAAAATTAATATTCCCAGTTTTGGGTTATGTAACATCATTGATTACAGTCTCAACAATTCTAATTGATACAGAATTGATAGATGGCATGAGAAATAGTAAGTTGATGAAGCTATGTATTCGGAGGATGAAGAAGTTTTGTAAATCGACTACAAGTGATCAAAGCGTCCGATACAACTTTAGTTGGCACATTAGTCTGTATATACAGAAAGGGTGTTTAACATTAAGTTAAACTGGGAAAATAAATGGACTGACACCAGTGGTCCACTGCTCTTCAAGTTAATTTACTCAAAGTAGATGCTTACATGGTCTCTTTTTGATTTTAACCACTAAGTTTTTGCCTCATATATGTTCGCACAAAATTTTATACTCCAATAAACTGCCTAGCCGATCGAATGTCTTCTCTATCCCAAGCTACACGAATTGAATGAAAAAACCTGATGAGAAATACATTTGTGTAAATTAGTTAATGCTCTCAATTAAAAGTGACAGTTGTTCAGTAATAGGATGCGAACAGTAAAAGGCCTTGATTTCATGTTTATTGGCACTTGCTTATCTCCCAAAGTACACTGTGATGATGCGCTTCCTAGCCGATTGAATAGAATCCGGTCAGCATTCAGTATTAGACAATATGAAATTGGTTGCTCTCCTCTAACCAATCAATGTAAAGGTGATCATTGCATGATGTTAAATTTAAATGAAACACAGAGTGATACTAAGTTGAAATGAAAAAAACTTTTATTTAGTTAAGGTACTAATAACCGAACTACCATCCCCTCTGGTACACTTACTTCTAAACAAACGCGTCTAAATGCCAAAAAAATGAAATGAATTTATCTTAAAAAATTTGCTTTATCAACTTTACATGATCGAACTAAGGAAAAGGACTGTATCACGAATCAAGTTTGTACGAATGACATTGTAAGAATGCATCAATGGACTATCCAGCGCTTTGTGCCTATTCGGTCAATGCGGCTGACCGTCCACCAATGAGTAACAGGTTTAAACTCACATGAGTAGTTAAAAATTTGTCTTACCTTTCTCACAACATATGTAGTTCGTAGCTTGGAGCAGGAATCTTTCGATGGTTTTCTCATTCATTACATCTAATTAGTTGTACCATTTTTCAAAAACCATTTGAGTGAACGAAAAATATTCTTTTGAATAATTTCTTCTTCAGGTTCCATAGTAACGTAAACATATTGAGGGATTTTGCGTCGAAAATATTGGGATTTTGCTCAACAGTCTGGTAATAATGCTATACAATTGAGGAAATCAGTTCAGGAAAGTTTTGCATAAGCATTATTGACAGAATTAATTATTACTGGAATTCACTTCAATTACTCATCTAAACGATTATACGGTGTAGATAATGTCATAAGGTGATAGTTTAATAAAGCTATTGGAAGGTGTTTATGAGAGTTGGATGAAATAAACTGAGAAAAATAATTTCACGAATAATAGCCTGATAGAATGATACTCATGTTAGGAAACAAAGTCGATTAAGAGAATGTGCCAAATAATTTCAGATTATAGGGGTAAAGGGATATCTTAAAGTATGGAGTTCGAAAATTAGATTACTTGGGGTAGGATGCTAAGGAATTGTAGAGTCCAGAATCGGAGTCACTGTCCAAGAGAGCATATCCACTAACCTCTTTATTACCGTACTATGCGCGTACCGGGACAAAGTTGAGACGCACACTTTCTCTGAAAAAATCGGTAGTTGTTGCGAAAATAATTGTTTTTCTTGAATACATTATTCAGACTGTTTGATCCAGATTGCTACTGTTTTTGCATTCCGGAGGATTCGGAACTGGGAACCTTTAAGCGAGTTGGGGGAAACCCTATACAGAGTGGAAAACGACATGTGCATATACACCTTGTGGTTCATTTCAACCAACGTGGCAATATGAAGCTGGTAATGTTCTTTACTACAGCCTTACTTAACCACACTAAAAGGTATTCGCGAGCACAGAAAATTAAATTCCTACAGTTGCCGCTGACATAACAAAATAAATGTATATATTTGTAAGTGGCGTCGCGACAAATTTCATAAAGACTGTTGAATGAATAAATTTATACCTAAGCCTATGCTTTTATGCATTGCATCAATAAGTATTAAAATGACTGAATGTTTTAGTGATAAGCAGACATCAAATTTTCGCTAAGAATTTATG